TTTTATTAATTTACGTCAAAATAAGTAAAAAATATTATATTTAACATTTTAATAATTTATAGTTATGAAATACACCATTAAACACCGGTGTTTTTTTCTGCGTTAAAGATAAAATTTTCCAAACAAGACTCAACAATGATTTTTCAAATTTGCACTCATTTAGATCTAAGAGAAACAGTTATTAGTCATTGAAATTACTTTAATTTACAAAATCTATTATTGATAAATTTTTGAATATGAATAAATAGAAAAATTTTCAACAACTTTTTTTGGATTTTATGTTTTAATGCAAATATATTTCCGATAATCAAATATATTTCCGAAATCATTATTGGACTGTTTTTTACAATAAAAAAATAAATAAAAGGGACACCGGTGTCTCATCTGCCTTAAAGAGATCGAAGTATTTCCTTGCAGTTATTATTTATTTTCTTCCTTATTACGTTTTTGATTAGCATTCCAAAATAAAGGCTTTAAACTAAACTGGTGTTTTATTTTATAAAATAGTACTTCAGGGATATTACCTCATTAAGCAATATTTTATGATAAGCATATTTAAACCGGTCATTAATTGTTTTACTGATATTAAACAGTAAATAGAAAATTTTATTATAAACTTGAGTATAACTTTATCCAGTCAACATTAATAATTATTATTATAATGAATGAAAAATTATAAAATATTTGGAATTAACTTTTGACACTGATACTCAGTTATCTCTTTGGCGAAAAACGCTTAGAGTTTCAAACGTATTCAAAAAATAAATAGGAATTAATGTAACAAAATTATAAATAAAGTTTTAATGGTGATTCAGAAAAATATTAAGTTTGAATTTTGCCTCAATTGAATTGAAATCTGTTAAAAAAAATTTGTATGAATGCAATGAAACATTTTGAGATCTTCCAACTGAATATTTTTTAATTCAAATGTAACAGCTGTTTACGTTAACAACTAACAAAAAAAGATTATTACAATCATGGGTTATAATGATTATAATAGGAGGCAGTGTCCCTGTAGTATTATCTAGTTTCAGTTCATTATTTCATTAAAATGTTTTTTATCTATATTTTATCTTATAATTTCTTCTGCCGTCAACGCTTACTTCAAAACTTGGAACTTTTTTAAATTTATAAAATAAAACGAAAAAAAAAATTATTGAACAAAAAAATAAATTATTTATTTTAAAAATCTCACAATTAAGAGAATATAATATAAAAGAATTTTTTTGCTGTTTCAAGTCAGTCAGCTCTGTTCAGACTCATCCTTTTCGAAAAATATTTACAGCTCCGAAAATCACAAATAATTTTTAATAAATAAGGTATAAAGTATACAACTTATCTATTTCACAACTATAAAATTATTTAAAATGCCTATCTCGATTCATTAGATAATATCGCATAATCAATTCGAGTTCAAACGATAAGCTTTCTTCTAAAATAACGCTTAACTGCAAACAATCGTGAGAAAGATAACTGGTGGTGGGGTGGTAGAGGGACGGCAGAAGGGGTTTTCCCTTTTTTATAACACAATGAGAGCAGATTTGGCGCGTTATCTCTATTACAGTTAAACGAAGTAACTTCTACTGATGCTAAAATCTTGTAGTGTATCACTAACCATGAAAATATTTAAATTTGGTAATGGCTATTTTTGTTCTGTCACTAATTTAGTTATTTCGAATTTCACAAAAATAAAGTTTTATTTATTTGTTTTTTATCTTAACGAACTTGATAACAGGTAATCATTTAATTTCTAGAACGTCTACGTTCAGATTTTGTTTTAGTAACTTGCATTTAAATGTATGATAATTTACTTTTAATTACATCACATTACAAGACTGAGCATACTGAGCTAATTGAACTACATTCTAAAACTGAATTGTACTAATTTAAGGTATCCGACTACTTTCGAGAACTTCTTTTTAAAAATATTAATGTAAAATTAAAAAAAAACTCATTTATTTGTTTTATTGTGTGTAAAAACTTATAAAACTAGCAGAAACCATTGTCGTAATTCTTATTTTCATTTTTACGGCTATTTTTAGGTAAAAATAAAAATTTGTTTTTTGGATATACGCTATCGCATGAAACAAAAAATTCTCTGAGGATTTTATTTAGAAGGCTGTTAACTATGTTTTGAACTATTTTCGCGAAAGCAAGTGCGTATACTATTGAGTTAGGGATCGATGTAGTTAAAAAAGCAATTTTTAAAAAATTTCCGCACTTGTGTTTGCAAAAAAACATGCAAAAAAAAAATGAAATTCTGCTTTTTTTTCTTTTAGTCTGTAGTTGAAAACTTGTGTACTATAATCATAACCACTTATGAAAAATTGTAGACAATTATTATAAAAACAGCATGAGATATCGTTTTTAATATGGTGTAAAATGTGAAAAAACTTGATTTTGAGATAAACGCATTTAAAGAATTAAAATCACTAGTCTATCCAATGTTATCACCTGGAACAAAAACTACTATAACTTTGTAAATAATTGTAGTACGAACAAAAGTAAGGTATTTTTAGAAAGTTAAGAGCACAGAGATTCTAAATTTATAGTAAACTCAATTTCAAAAATTTTGCTCAAAATCAAGTTTTTGCACTGGTATCTTAAGCAAACTCTCATATCAAAAGTGTATTTTCCACTCGCTTAATCAAAAATCATGTACATAGTTATCTAACATACTATGACCACCGTTCTGTTTTCATAGTATAACAGTTACCTTAATAATGTGTTATTCCCAATTGAAAAATAGTGAATGACTTCCGCGTAAGTCCTATTCCTCGCTTTTCAAATTAATAAAGGTTTAAAGATCTATTTTTAATAAATGAAGAATTTACAGTTAAAAGCTTAATGTTTAATATTTTTTATTTTTTAAATATCCTCCTATGTTGATTATATCAAAAATATCGTTCGAAAATATAAAGATGAATGAATGTATTAAATTTTTAAAAAATTGAAATGATTTAAAAGAAAATATTTCTCCAATGAAAACAAATAAGTAAAAGAGAGAAAAAAAATGTTCTTGCGCTTTTGATTACTTGCTATTTTTACTTAAAATACAATACTGACGGAATTTCTTAGTATATTTTTTAGGAATAATATTGAACAGGTAGGAAAGTTTTCTGCTCTAAAAATTAAAATCTGAGAGTTTTTTGAGAAATCCATTTTTTATGACATATTTATCAGTTAGGACAAATAAAAAGAAAATAAATAAATAAATAGATAAAAGTAAATAAATAAAAATTAAATAAATAAATAAAAATAAATAAATGAAAATAAATAAATAAAAAATAAGTAAAAAAAAAGTAAATGAATAAGAAAATGAATGATACAAATAAAAAAAAAATACTGCCAAACTTTTTATTTTTAAAATATATTTTAAATTCTGGCAAGTTTTATTCTTCGAAATTTATTAACTCATCCAAAACAATCGAAGGAAAAAAAAGAAGCTTAATAAACATGTTTTAATTTTTAAACATGTTTCAGTTTATAAAATTCAATCATCATATGAAAACCATTGTATCAACTTAATTAACGACAAAAAGTAGAGAGAATAACTTTAAAATTCCATCAATAAAAAAATGAAAAAATAGCATAAAAGATATTTTTTTAAATTTTTATAAAGTTGTTTATCTATTTATGTGCATTAAAATAGAAAAACAAACTAATGTGTGATTTTTTTTGTACAGACAGTTTTTGTTAACTTTTTTTGTTTTGCTCATCTTGAGTAAGGCTCTGGTTTCTATACGTTTAAATTTATTGTGTTGCAAGCATTTAGATAAGTTTTTCTTACAGGGCTAGAGTTAAAATTTCAGAGACTATAGGCACGAAACTATCGAAGACCTATTAATCATAGCTTTAAAACAAATTTACGGTGTACAAAAAAAAGTCTGAATCACCCTGAAAAACTTTTGATCTAATGATCGGATTTTCAAGTGCTGGATTCCAACTCTCTAAAATATCATACATATCAAGTTTGACTTCTAAAAAACTATTCGGTCGATTTTGCTCTCTTTACATTCTTTAAAATGAAGTAAAAAATTGTACCTTACAATTAAAATCCCCCCCCCCATTATTATGAAATAAGATAACAAAAAGTAATAAATGGTTATTAAAAATTGTTTTTGGCATGGAATTAATTATCTTCGGATAAACGAATCTTATAATTGTATGCACAATTTTTTTTTTCTAATTCGCTTAAGTTTTTAGATCGAACGAAATACGCAAAAAGTAAAATTAACATTAAGGGGTCAAAACTTTGAACCGCTCTCTTGATCAAATTATTGGGACCATCTTTTGCAACTTGCGGATACTCCCTACATTTTGAGGATAAGGGATCTAAACTCGTCAAAAAAAATATGTTTATTCAGAGGAAGTAAGCTATTGTGTCTTATTTCATAACTTAAAATATATTATCTGCACTAATTAGTCAGAAATCCGTGTCCGTCGAAAAAAGTTGGTTACGCTTTTGAGTATCATTTAGGAAACTTAAAAATTCGCCTGCACTTATTAATTAGCATGTTGGCGGTCAACCACGTGAACCATTAAGTTTGAGTCCTAGTGCGTAAAAATCCTGTCATTAGATTAGCAGATGTTCACAGAAATTCCTTCTTTCTTCATTTATTTTTATTTTTGCGCACTGCACATACATCTATTACGTACACAATTATTTTCAATGATTAGTAAAATAATAGAATTATGTATTATATATTTAGTAAATTCTAGCTCATTTTTATTTAAATTATTTTGTCGTCTAAAAAGATAATTTATTTTTATTTTTAAAGAAAACATAAATATTGTAAGAAATTTAGAAATTGGGGGTGTTAGTCCCAAGTTTCTTGGGTCATAAAATAAACAAGCTGCATAATACAGTATTTGAAAAACATTCCATTTTTAGCGAGCCTGGAGCAATAAGATATCATCTTTCGACTTTCGGAAAGCTGAAACGGAGCCATTATCTAAAGTTTGGCGATTTATTAACTCTCGTTTGTAATTGTAACCCTACCCATTATATGTATGTTGTTGTGTTTCGGGCGCAGACAGCGATTTTTGAGACATTTTGTATAGTCTTTAATTTTTCAATTTGTAATTGAATATTTGTCCTATATAATAAATAAAAAACTGCATAGTTTACAAATAGTTGTAGAGATTTTAACGTACATAAAAATTAAATCTCAATAATTTTGTTGAAATTTTGCTGCAGAGAACATTGAAATTATGGTGAGCATTAATTTATTTTATTATTAGGATCATATTTATTCTAATAATAATTATTAATCTAATTAAGTAATCTTAGGCTGAAAACTATTTTACCTAAATTAATATTACAGTGAAGTAAATACAAAATTATGAATAAGGAATTACATTAATAATTTTTGAAAGTTATCAAAATCACAATGAATCAAATTCATAGATAACTGTAGAAAAATGCAATATATGTGAATTATTTTCATGCTAAATTTGCTTTTAAAAAATGAGTAAATGTTATAATGTTTTTGTTATTTAAGTTTGCTTTTTAGGCTTAGGATTTTCTGAAAATAGCTGTTGCCTAAGGATTTCCCATCGCGGAAGAACTTAGATTTCAATTTTATCTGATTTCAAGAAATATCAGTGATATTGTCAAAGTTTCCTATGTATCAAATTTAAGCAATTGCTTTGAAATCGTAGAAAACTAGTTCCAATGCTCCATTAAGGGTGTCTTGGAGTCGGGAAAAACTTCGATGAGACACTCGGACAAAAATAACCAGGTGTTCCTTTACTGGGTG